CTCAGCTGGATAAAAGGAATTACTGAAGCCAGAACCGACCTTGCTAGAGAAATGACAAAATAGAAGCAACAGTATAACCCCCAATCACAAAGAAAGATCCCTTGCAATATACTAGACCTATCGACCGTGCGGATGAAGAATCAGAGGAAGGATAGGTGCCAGGAAAGAAAAAAAGGAAAGGAAAAAATCTCAAAACTAGCTCCAAGAGTAGAACACTTAACACGCTCACTAGTGAGCACTAAAACATACGCATCAAAGGTAAACAAGACAGACCTATGGCCTCCCCTGACCCCGAGACAATAAGAAAACACCACATATCCCCCCAATAATCAGATACCCCACTAGATCAAACTCATGACCGCTAATCACAAGAACCGACATGATAAAGGCCGCTCAGAAGAGCCTATCCCCTGAAAAATAGAACCCCAATGAACGAAGCTAAGTCATGAGGCATAGGGACCAGCACGTAGACGAAACAGACAATCAAAACAGAGTTATCAAGGAGGACATACCCCTGAATCTATAACATGTAGACCATAAACCGTGAGCCATACACGTCAATTCCAGGCAACAGAACAATGAGAAATAAATCCTAAAGATAAAACATGAGGCAGAATGACATCTCCCTAAATAATAATCCAGCAACCTTGTGCCAAAAGAGACCCAAAAAGATAAGAAATATCGACTAACCTCCGAAAGCTCAAAGTACTGAATCATAAAATCCTAATCCCTAAACCTTAAGCAGCCACTGCATAAGACTACACCGTAAAACCTGAACCCGGACCTAGACGATAGAAGGTGAGCCAAGAAATGTAAGCATTCCTCCATGGCACCTAAACCATGAAAACTCCAAATAGCCTTGAACACTACCCCGTAACAGCAGGGAATAAGGAAAAACTCCTGACCCCTAACACCCGAAGCATCTTCTCTGCACCTGAAAACAAGAACAGAAAATCCACACTGAAAAATGAGCCCCAGGTCAATGAACACTAGAAACAAATCCCAGGCCTCCAAAGCCTAGGCCCTAGACCCACCACAGAAGACCAGGAATCGTGGAACCTAATCAAATAATCATGATAGACTAAAACCTGACACATATCCAAAAGTCCCTGGACCCCAAGCCCTGAAAAGTAAACCGTAAACCATGAAAACTACCCCCTAAGATTAGAAGCTAAAGCATAACCCTTGAAGACTAAAATCAAACCATGACCCCTGCCACAACAAATGACAACCGTAACGCCTCAACCCTGAGAACTAAACCTGAACAGTAAATCCTAAAAATAAACCCTGAACAGTAACAACCAACCCCTCACCCCTGAACCATAAGCATAAATCATCCCAGCTGAGCGATGCACCCTAGAAACTGATCCAAAGCCCTAAACCTGAACCCTAAACCCTGAACTCTCTACTCTCCACTCTAAACGGAACACCCAAACGCTAAACGTAAACCCTGAAACTTAAACGTAAACCTCCCTGGAAGAGCCCGACGCATCCGCCGTCAGCTCCCAGCTCCTGATCATGCCTGTAATTATAAACCTAACTCATCAATCCTAAACTCGAAACTCCCTAGGCCCTGCCCCTCTTCCTACCTTCTGAACTTCCCGTCCTGCTTTATCCTTCCTTCCCTCTTTGGAGGGATGTTTGTGGGGTGCTTGTCCGCACTTATATGTTCATCTCGGTAGCCCCGCCCCTTGTGCTCCCCCCTGCACCTATTGCTTTTTACCCTATGTTTTTGATACCGAAGTGGTCAACGTATCCCTCATGTCTTTTCCTTGCCCCCGGGTTCAGCTTATTCATACTACCCTGCCTCCTCCAAGATACTGGTCACCTGAGAGGATCCGGCCTCAAAAATTAATCAACCGCCTGGCAACAACTCGGAATCTTTCTGTCTTCGCTCATACCCTATCCTCCCTGGTCTCTCCTAGACGTCATTCTTCCTTCCTTAACCCCTGGAAGTTCTCCGGCTTGTGCTGTGGGGCCCCCTGACAGGATTGCCTGCCGCCCTACTTACGGTAGCCGAGGGCTTCCTGCCTGACTCGGGAAGAATCCTCCTTTCGATGGATTGCTACTCCTCCTGATCCTTGTCTATGGCTTAGAGGCGGGATTCCTTGCTGCGACTACTGGATTTGTGCTATATTACTTAACGCTGGGCATTTCTGACGGCTTCACACGGCTCTCCCAGATTTTCCGTAAGAGTGGGGCTCCCCTTACACGCCTTCCTTCACTCAGGCTCCGGATCCTTCTATTCCCTTCCCCGACGATACCCCCTCCTCTGGCTCTTGCCTCGTGCTCCGTTTATTTTGTCAGTCGGCTTGCCTCTCCTTCAATGACGTATCTTCGCGGTTCCGGAACTTTGTCTATTTAACTACTTCGTTCTTTCCTCGACGCCCAGAAGACGTGGCACTGGCTCATTTTGGCAACTTGCCCCCGGCTTCTGCCATCCCCTCTCTATCCGTCGGTTAGCGCTCCCTTCTTCACTGCTTTATCAGATATCCGACTTTCCTCTGTTGGTACATTCCTGGTCGTAACCCCTTATTTTTCCTTCGTCCTCCAAAGATACGATAGAAACCATAACCTGAAACAACAAACATCACACCTACAGTCAGACTTATCCCTAAGATTCCACTAAGTCCTAAATTGTTATCACCAGTCCCAATGGACTCCAGACCCTCTTTACCTAATGAGTCAGCTAGACTTCCCTTCCCGAGCCCCCCTACGGAAGATCTGCCGCCTGGGTTAGTCCCTTCGGAATTTCTGTTCCCTTGGGTCTGTACAGTGGGGTTGTCCTCTGCGTCCTCGGTCGTGACTCCTCCATGTTCTCCTTCTGCGTCAGTCTCACCCGTTGTCTCCCCC